TGTAGTTTGCTGCATTTTCTTTTGAGTAGTTAGCCTCTGTAACTCGAGTATTTACTAACACTTAGAAAGCACTGTCAGCAGGTGCAGGGTGAGCGTGTCTGTGTATCATTAGTCAAGAGGGCTCATCACGTGCTGGCAGAGCGTGTGTCTCTGCATGGAGCTCAGGGAATTAACGTTGATGGCTTTACTGATGTGGATCGATATTTACTGCATCCCAACTAGGGGATGTACTCTGACATGTGCTGTGCTTTCTCAAATGCAGAATTTTTGATTTTTGAATTTCAGATACGTGGTATCTCTCTCCCAAATACCTTTTATCAGTAAGACTGATAAGTCACTTTTAGAAAAATATTCATGACTGTAAGCATACAGTGTCCATGGGCCATATAGAAGCCAGGCTGATCCATAGACACACTCCTGCCTCAAGGCCTTCAGGCACACTGTGGGTCCGGACCTTGGAGCATGGGGCATAGCTTTGAGACCGAGGAGCTGCGAGCCACAGCCCACATTGATTCAATCAGCTACTGGAGAGCATCTCACACGGGACCCTCCTGACTTCCTGTCAGGCCTGTCTTAGAAATCTTAAAACACACAGCCCATGGTGGCTTTCTAAAAAGGGATGACGGAATGGAGAGTGACATAGAAATCTTGTTTCAGTTTTGCTACTTAGAACTTTCTGGGATTTGCCCATAGATAAAATATATTGGCCGTCTTCAGTCAAACACCAGAAGAAGCATTTGGCTTGTATTTAGGGACTGGGTTGTATGAGGAATGTATACCTTTGAACATCTGACTGGCATTCAGTGTGGCGAGGTTCTTACTCTGTGAAAGTCATACCAGACACGCGACCAACTCAGGGACTAAGAAACTTAAATCTCCCATTTCATTTAATTCTGTCCCGTATCTTCATTGGGTTTGAACTGCAGAAAAATTCTCTCATGCAAACTGGGAGGTCTCTTTCTTGCTCCCATGTGAGAGCATTCAGTGAAGGTTTGGTCTTAATAGCTTCTTCTTGGGGTGGATTTTAGAAAGCCATCTAACTCACTGGTTTGCAAATTCTTTCAAGTGACAGGGCACTGAAATTCAGAACATCATGAACTCTTTAACATTGAAGTACATATTGACAAATCCAGTTCATTCATAGAAACTAAAACTTACTTTGATGGAAGAAAAATAAAGCAGGCCACAAAGGTAGTTTAAAAGGTAGCTTTCGGAAGAAAAACTTTCATTTGAGAAATATGAGTTATTTTCTGAGATCCAAGACTTTTATTCTATCTGAGCGGCAATACACTTTGCTCCACTTGAGAAAATTCCACCCCTACTGAGAACCGAGGTTCTAACAGAAATGGAGCAGAAGAGAAATTATGTGCAGTACCATATTTCTTTGTTTTTCGTGGGATTATGTTAACATCTTTGAATTCTTAACCATTGATTCCTGTGCCAAATGGGCCCTATGAATTCTAGAGCTCTGCTTTTATGGACACTTTTATGGTATTCACCGTGTGAGACTTTTATTTCTCTAACGGCACTCTCAGCGAGAGTACTGGAGGCTCCCATAGTGAGCCTTAACCAGGGACAGTGCGCACCGGGGTCTCTTGGGAAAATTGTCTAGAATACACAGGCTGTGCCCCACAGCGACTGCTCTAGAATCACCAGAGTCATGCAACATGGGCACTTTTTAATTTAAAAATTCTCTTTAATTACAGTTGGCCTTCAGTATCATTCTGTATTAGTTTCAGATGTATAGCATAGTGATTAGAAAGCCATGTACTTTACAGAGTGGTCCCCTAACTGCTTCAAGTACCCACTCAGCCCGATACATAATAGTTACCACAGTATCGCTGGCTATATTCCCTATGCCATACTTTACATCCCCATGATCATGTTCTGTAACTGCCAGTTTCTACTGCTTAATCCCTTCACCTTGTTATTTTTCAGGCTCCCCAAACCAAGGAGTTATGCACTGCTGGCTGATAACCACCACCTGACTGAAACTTTACTGGGGGGAGGGTGCGTGTGTGCATGTGCGTCTGTGTGTAGGTGTGTTAGAGATAAAGAACACATAAGCACTGTGAGGGCAGGCACCTTGTCTGTCTTATTTATTGATCTACTTCCAGCACCTCATCATCAGTGATCAAGAAATAGTCAAAAAATGGGCTCTGGTCATGTGGCTGAGTTGGTTAGAGCATTGTCTTGAATTTACCAAGGTTTCAGGTTAGATCCCCAGTCAGGGCACATACAGGAAGCAACTAATGAATGCATAAAGAAGTAGAACAACAGATAGCCATTTCTCTCTCTCCCTAAAATCAATAAATAAAATTATTTTTTAAAAATAGCCAATAAATGAAGAAAAGGGTAGAACAATATTCTCCCAAAATGTTAATACTGATGATCACTGTGAGGAGGATTTGGAATAGTTTCAGTGGATTTTTTTTGTTTATTTGTTTTGCTTAATTTTTCTGCATATATCATGTATGATATAGATAATTCTTTCTAAATTACTTGAATGCTCACCCAGACTTATTTATAAGCACACTCCAAGCTATGCAGTGACCGCTGAATAAATGGTTCCTGAGTCTGCTGACACCTTTGTTCTAAGGGGAGACATTTCCCCCCAAAGGTCTGTAGTTGTTAGTTCCTCCCACCCAGTCCTTGTGGGAGCAGGCGTGTGCTGGGCAGGGAGGCGCACGAAGAGCAGTCTCTGCTCTCTGACCTGCATCCAGTGCTGTGCGCCTCTCTGGCAATCATAGTTGTTTTGCTCCAGGGAAAATCCATTATAAACAGCAGCACATGGGGCACAGGAGTGATTTGCTTTGATACGCACAGCCTTTTCCCAAAGAGAATGTGGAGTCTTTAGTTTCACATGTAACTGAGAGACTGAGTGAACTGCCTGCCCATTTCTTGCATAAAACGAATCAACAGTATACATGATATCCTTTGCAAACCACTTAACATAAAAAGAACCTTGGCCAATAACGACTTTTTACTAATAGCTTTATATTTTTAGAAACTTAATAGGCATAGTAATTTTGGTCGTAGCATAGAACTTTTTTCTTTTTGTGGGATATTTAAAGCATGACCTGGAAGATTGGGTACTGACTGTTTCAATGTCGTAGGACATGTCTTTGGGTTAATAAATACTTGAATGGTCCAATATCTCAGCAACCACAAGTTTTTCTTAGCTCTGACTCTGGGTAGGTAAAGTTCTCATTCATTTGAAGGCCATAAGCTATGTTTTTAACTCTTAATGTTATATCCTGGAAATCGGTGCAAATTTCATGGGGAGGGGAGTGGGATTCAAGAATAGAAAATTTTATGACTAATTTATAAACAGAAGATACTACCTCCATCATCAGAATCATGTTTTCTTTTTTCATGTGGCTTTCCATAATTTCACATTCAGCAGATTACTACCAGAAAGTTAACTATTTGCGCATTTCATATTCTGGAGCTTACGTTAGCCTGACTGACTTTTCAAATTCAGGTAAAGGTCTCTAAACAAGTGATGAAAATTTGTTTTATTATTCATCTTACCAATCCCAGGCAATTCATAGAAAAATATTGCTGTTCAGCGCTGTGCAAGAACAGTTCCTGTAAGCCATGTGCCGAGAGTGGGAGTGAGTTACGTTCAGACCCCCTGATGGTCTGGAACAGCACCCCAGATCTCTTCAAGAGTGGTGCCCAGGGTGCAGTGGGTTAGAGCTTCTTTCCATCTGCAAACAGGCACTGCTCAAAGAAAAACGCTTCACACTGTGACATGGGGTTATTTCTGACTGCATGTGGTAATAATAGCTAAGGTGGAATAATCTGCAAGACTCGGAGGCCTCCCCGCTCCCACCTTTGCTTTAGAGGTGTTTGATTTTTCCAGCCTCCAGCTCCCTTCTGTGGCTTCACAGAAACAAGGTGTGCCCCACAGAATCTTCCCAGGATACTTTGATTAGATGAGCAAAGACAGCTCTGAAAAAGAAGCTGACTTAACTCCAGTCATTGGAGTACAGAAAAGCTAGCTGTGGTGTTATATCAATGGGCTTGGTGAGAGACGCCAGAGTGGGACAGATCCCAGTGACACAGCACCAGAAGGAAGCCGCCTGCTTGGCTAAAAGACCCAGCAGTAGGGCCAGCTATTGTGAAGCCCCTCCGCCAGATGAACAGGGACCCTTCTCTGGTCACAATAGCCATTCACGCTGAGCAGCCTCATTAAATATTCAGCCTGTGCTTCCGGCAGCTCATTAGGGCCGCAGTGAGCAGTGACGTGGATGCTGGAAAGCACAGGCAGCCAGCATCAGAGGCAGAGGGCTGAGTGAGCGGCTGATGGCTTTTCTGTGCACTGCCTGTCCTATGATGACCAGTGTCTGCTCCCTGCTTTGCCTGAAGTACAGGTAACAATGGAACAGAACCAAAACCAAGCAGATCACACTTGAGGGCTTCAGGTTCTTATCTCTGATTCTGTCTGGCAGGGGCCTCTGATTTTGAGTGTTTGCCCCCTTGAAGCCCTCTGACCCCCTTAAGGAGCTCTCTGTGGCTTTGGGGGCCTTTGCAAAGCATTAACAATGTGGAGCTCTTGTGTCCTTGGGCTGTTTGATGACTGCATTTGGGAGCATTCGAGGTATGGTTTTGAACTTGGTGCTGGGAGTTTCAAATAGCAAATTATTCCTTGGAAGCACGTCAAATTTAGTAACGTGGGCTAAATCCTAGCAGTTTGTGGAGCAAGTCTGTTCCACCCAAGTCAAGTTTTCCTGTATCTGAGTAGTTCATTACTTTCCCCTTTTGCCTATCAGGATAGGTAGGGTATGATATAAAATAAATATTCCATCAGCTGTTTGGGGCTCTTCCAATGGGCTGAATGTTGTCCTTCTTTGTATGTCGTTACTTTGTTGCTCAGTGCTGTTTGATATTTAAAACTGGGAAGATCTGGGAAGGGAGAATTGAAACATGATGAACTCAGACAAAGTGCATTTCTTTGGTCTTACTGTTGGCATGTTTTTCTCTTTCCTGCACAGAAAATGTTTTCAGACAGCTCATTTCTATGTGGAAGACAGCAGTTCACCTCGGGTGGTCCCCAATGAAAGTATTCCTATTATTCCTATTCCGGGTAAGTGAGACACTACTCTCATTTCCAACAGACTAATTGTTTTTCTCTTTTGTTCTCAACTGTATGTGACGGCCATGACAAAATATTATTTGTATAGCCTTTTAAAGCTTGCCTAGTTTCAGAGATCCCTGACTAAGGTCAATTTAACAAAACCTGTGCTCCTTTACATATCTGCAAAGTAATGAAATCCTCTTTAAAAGGAACAAATAACTATAACTTAATACACTATAGATTCCCATGCAGGGGAGGGAAGCAAGCATAGAAAAAGGGAGAAACATACATATTTGCAATCTACTTAGACTAAATTTCATTTTGATAAGCAGTTTTGCTTAGATTTTTAAAAAATCATAATTCGCGATATACTTTTTAAGTTGAGTTTTCTCCTATGACTCCTTACTCTGAAAGTAATTTATATTAGAGTGGGAAGTTTGGCTCTTAAGATGTTGGTGTGGAAGACTGGGGATATGTTCTAGGCCTGGTATGTATTTCATTCGTCCTCCAGTAGAAATACAAAAACTCAGTCGTGTTAGGTGTAGGGGTTGGTAGCGTGCACTGTGGTTAGTCCTAGCAAATGCCATGGCCTGTAGGATTTCAGCGTTGGCTTGGCTGTGATAGCCAGGATGTGGGATTTGAAGATGGCCTGACCGTTTTTATTTGGCTCCCCTTCCTTTTTGCCCAACTTGAACTTCTTCCTCTGGCTTCACTTTGTACTTGTAAATATTTATCTGTAAATATCTTATGCCACCCTCTGGACATCAATTATTCTTTTATAAACAGAGGTACTACATTTTTTATGGTGGCTTATATTTTATTTTATTTTTTAAGTATATTTTATTGATTACGTTATTACAGTTGTCCCAATTTTTCTCCCTTTGACTCCCTCTTCCCAGTACCCCCTTTTCTTCAGCTACCCCCGTCCCTTTGCTTCATGTCCATGGGTCATGCATATAAGTTCAGTTCTTTGGCTTCTTCTTTTCCGATACTATTCTGTACCTGTCTATTTTTGTACCTGCCAATTATGTTTTTTAATCCCTGTACCTTTTCCCAAATTTTCCCCCTTCCCCCTCCCAGCTGATAACCCTCCAGATGATCTCCAAATCTATGATATGATTCTGTTCCTGTTCTGTTCTGGTTGTTTGCTTAGTTTTTTTTTGTTTTTGTTTTTCTTTTCTTTTTTTTTTTTTTAGATTCAGTTGTTTATAGTTGTGAATTTATTGCCTTTTTAATGTTCATAGTTTCGATTTTCTTTTTCTTAGATAAGTCCCTTTAACATTTCATATAATAAGGGCTTGGTGATGATGAACTCCTCTAGCTTTGCCTTGTCTGTGAAGCACTTTATCTGCCCTTCCATTCTAAATGATAGCTTTGCTGGATAGAGTAATCTAGGTTGTAGGTCCTTGCTATTCCTCACTTTTAATACTTCTTGCCAGTCCCTTGTTGCCTACAAAGTTTCTTTCGAGAAATCAGCTGATAGTCTTACCAAATTCCTCTGTAGATAACTTTCTGCTTTTCTCTTGCTGCTTCTAAGATTCTCTCTTTGTCTTTAACCTTTGGCATTTTAATTATAATGTGTGTTGGTGTGGTCCTCTTCGGGTCCAGCTTGTTTGGGACTCTCTGCTTCCTGGACTTGTATGTCTATTTGCTTCACTAAATTAGGGAAGTTGTCTTTCATTACTTTTTCAAGTAAGTTTTCAATATCTTGTTCTTCGTCTTCTCCTTTTGGCATCCTTATGTTTTAGATATTGGCGCATTTGCAAGTATCCCAGAGGGTCCTTATACTATCCTTGGTTTTTTTTGAATTCTTGTTTCTTCTTGCTGTTCTGGTTGAATGTTTATTTCTTCCTTATGTTCCAAATCATTGATTTGAATCCCAGCTTACTTACCTTCACTGTTAGTTCCCTGTAGATTTTTATTTCACTTAGTGTGACCTTCATTTCTTCATTTATGTTGTTTCCATACTCAATAAGTTCTTTGAGCATCCTGATCACCAGTGTTTTAAACTGCATCTTATAAGTTGGCTATCTCCATTTAGTTTACTTCTTTTTCTGGGGTTTTATCCTATTCTTTCATTTGGGCTGTATTCCTCTGTCTCCTAAATTTGCCCCCCCCCCCCGTTTTGTCTGTGTATTAGGTAGAGCAGCTTTGACTCCCTGTAAAAGGCACCTGTAAATTGTGTGGGGCGGAGCCTTAGGTAATTGTCAGGGTGGGACAACCCACTTCACTGCTTTGTGGCTCTGTGTTGGGGGAAGGCTCGGAGAGGGGACTATGCCTCTGCCTGGCTTCTGGGGATTTGCCCGGCATTTGCCCATTTCCAGTCACTTCACCTACCCCTCCCCACCCCCATATTTGACTGGTGCCCTCCCAGCTGTTTCCCTGGTGTTGAATCCCAGAGTGGGTGGGTTTGCGAAAATTTTAAGACCCTTTCAAGCAGAATTTCCTGAAAATTCAGCAGTTTCTTCCACTGCCCCAACCCCAATTGGTTTTTTGTAGCCAGAAGTTATGGGGATTTGTCTTCCCAGTGCAGGAATCCCTGGGCGGGAATCCTGAGGCTGGGATCGCTTACTCCCAAGGTGGACCCCCCGCCCCTGATTTTTATCCACCACGAATGTGGGACTGCCCATGCCCCTTCTGCCGCCGCCGCCGCCTTTCCATGCCATACCACATTTCCTCGCCTCTTCGCCCAGTCTCTGCACCCCCTGCCCATCTGGATGAATGCAGCCTCTTTAAATTCTTGGTTATCAGACTTCCAGACAGTTCAATTTGCTGATGGTTCTCGGTATTATTTCTTTTGAGATTTAGTTGTAAATTGGTTTGTGGTTGTGTGAGGAGGCGAAGTATGTCTACCTATGCCTCCACCTTTACTGGTGCTGCTTTTACTATAGTGCCACCTGCCACACAGCCGAGGCTCCCCCTCCCACTTGTCTTCCCATTTTCCAGAACACTTTCACCATCTAATGGTACTTGTTTGTTTGTGGTGTCTGCCCTCTAGAATAAGAGCTTCATAAAGGCAAGTGAATGCCTCCTTAGGACTAGAATAATAGCTGGCACATAGTAGGCACTCTTTAACTCTATGCAAGGGTGAAGGAAAAGGGGCAGGGGGGAATGAATGAAGGAATGAACGAATGAACAAAAGAACAAATGAATGAACATCAGGAAACCTCCCTGAAAGTTCCCAAAAGGCCATAGCTGTGAAGCTCAGAGGCAGAGTCGGTCATTCTCTGAGTCCGGAGAAGGAATGTTTCTATTGTTTGCAAACCCTCACTAGGTACAGTTATGGTTGAGGATTTATTTGGCCCTTTATGCATCTTGTGTGTTAACTCATTAGATAATGTTGGTATCGGCCAGGTTCTCCCCATCTAGTCAGCTTCTCTTGCTAACGCTTGTCCCCCAGAAACAAGAGGGTAGCAGAAAAATCTCTGATTAACTTTTTATTGGATGACTTTGTGGCCAGTAAGTGATTCCCAAACAGACGGGCTAGGCCTCGTTGCCCTTTGTCCTCCTCTATAACCCCTGCCCTGCACTCCTGGTGGGGGAAAGCTGCCCTCATGCCTTTGAGAGGAGAGGAAGCAGGCAGGAGGCATGTCTTCCATTTGCATGGAATAAAGAGTTTTATCGAATCAGCCCGATGGGTGCAACAGCATGGGGCTAATCATTTTCCTCTTGCATCACCTAGAATATCTGTGGGAGTCTGGAAATTGCCTGGAAGACTCTGTCCTCTGAACTGAGTCATGTGACAAACACAGCTGTTGGGTATCTGTGCAGCTGAGTTCCATTTTTAAAGGTTACATAGTGAGGCACCTTTAGTGCTCTGTTTTCACTGTCCCCACTGGATTAGGAATCAGAAAACCTAGGACCTTGCCCTGTGTCCACTACGAAACCTTGGGTCAACGACCTCGCCTCCCTGTGCATTAGTTTTCAGGATCTGTCAAGTGAGCAGTGTCTCTGTCCTGCCTGCACTTGAGGTGATAAGTGTAAAAGTACTTTGGATGCCAGAAAGTAAGCCCAAGTGTCAGCCGTGAAGCTTCTTCCCTAGTCATGGCAGTGACCATCCCAGCAGCCTCGAGAGTAAGCCTTTGTGTGGTTCTCAGATTGAGATTGGCCCTGACACTGAACCCGCCCACCGGCTGTGCCTGCCGCGCGACGCTCTTTGGCTTCAGCGTTGGGACTTCCAAGTCTCCGGGATCCCCAGAAAATGTAATCAGTTATTCCTGACCTGCCACACCTCTGAGTAGGAGTCTTAGACTGGAAACATTTTTGAATCATTCCCTAGCTACCTATTTAATTACTAAGTGAAATACAACCCAAAGGCATTCCTTTAGAAGTGACTTCCTGCTAGATCTTACTCACTGGGAGTACAGGGACAGAAAGTATCTTCAAATTCTCCTCTGACTGAGGAATCCATGATACTTGGTTGTACCTCACTTGACACAGTAGATGCATCCTTGACAAGTTATTACACATTTGCAAAATGAATAACTTTAGCTGTAATGCAGTGTGGTGTTCAAGTGAAACCAAGAGTGAGACTACTCTTAGTTTCCTTAGGTTTTCATAGATAGCACAGACTTTGTAACCATGAAGAGATGCCTGGACGAACCCATTTTGCCTTTAACTGGGAAAGGGTACCCTATATAACCTGTCTTTAAATAGTTTTCAACTTGATCCCAATTTCTTTTCTTAAATAAAACCCCACACCCTGTTTAGTAATTACATTTGTAAAATATTATAATGTATGAAGCACTTTAACCATCCATTATTTCTTTTATTCTTATGGTTTCTTCCAGTTATTACAGTAAAAACTCTATTGCATGAGGAAATTCATTATAAGGAAAACACAATTTTTAATAAATTTGTTATTTTCACTCTATTAAAACTCTCAACACAACTTTTCTTTAATGGAGAACCTTGGGTGATTTAAATGACTTAACCTTAGGAATTATCTGATTGTTCTGATGTCTAAAAATAATGGCATATTTTTATAGAATACTATCCACTGGATCTCA